TTTTTTTTTCCCCCCCCCCCCCCCCCCCCCCCGAAAGAAAACAAACAATGAAAGAGCCTTTAAAAACTTGGAGTCTGAAAGGGAGTCTTCAGACTCGGAGGGTGGCCCAACACACCGCAGATGCAAGACAAAAGAGCTGGTGACAACAATGTTAGAGGAGGAAAAGGAAGAGAGATGTGTTCAATCATTTTAGCCACACTTCTTCCCACTTCCCAGGTAAGAGTAAGTACTTCTGTTTCAGAAAGAGGGACATGAGGCATAGAGGGGCTGGGTAACATGCACAAAGTCACACACAACCTGCTATAAGAATAAGGGATTACATTCACATCACAGTAAAAAAAACAGAGAAAGTTCCTTCTTTCAAAAGGACACCCCTTGGTTTACATGCAGCAAATGAGCCTGAAAACGATTTAAACTTTAGTTTGCTTTGGACAGAGTGGGAGAGCTGACACTGCTCCCTCCTGCATCTCAGCTGACTGAGGGAGAAGTAACTAAGAGCTGGAGGGCAGTAAATTCTTCAACCATTCCAAGACAATAGCAAGACCATGTGGAACCTGCTTCCGTAGATCAGAAAACTACACAAAAATAATCCCAACCTTTCTTCTGAAGACCCTCACCATTCAGGACAACTCTTGGGCTTTATTCAAGCACCATTTCCACCTTAAAACCACCAGCATTTAGACAAATATCATACTATTTTCTCAAATTCACATGCACAAGTTTAGCTAGGGCTGCTCCCGGTTTACAGCTGCCTGCCTCAGAACGAGGTCAAGTAATTATACCCTTACAGCTCGATCAGCATGTACTCTGAAGCCTACTGACGACAATCTGTGAGCTTGCATTTCAGGAGTGCTTCAGGACCTATGTAAGAAATGTAGCTGCAAACTGGACATGCACACAGATCACTACAGCTAGGAAGCAGTGCAACAGCTGTCTGCAACTTAGCTCCATGACTTGCATATGCCTTTGCAGAGGCACACCTTGGCACAGATTATGCCTATGGCTTTTGAAAATGGGGCTTCAAATACTGTTCCTATTTCACAATATGAGGTTTTTAAAAAAAAAAAAATCTTTATTCTTTTTGGTTTTGTTTTCATTATATTTTTAGGCAGTGACACTGTAATCATAGATGCAAACCAAGTTGAGTGCCACTAGCTCCTTCTAGACATTTCCATATCTGGAAACTGTTAAACTAGGCAGATAAGGCTCTCTTTTCCTTTATTTCAACAAAGAAGTCATCATTATCTTTTTATGTCTGTCCATAATATATGGGTTTTTTCCTGTTTACTCAACTTAATAAGCTCTCCCTGCACTTGTGAATTCACAATGAGAATAAAAAAGCTGCTCTCCAGGCAAAGGTCAGTGTTTATTTTTACCTTCTATTATTCCACTTTATTATTTTATTACTTTCTCAGCTGGTAAAATTTCAAACCACACACAAGCTGAAAGGCATTCAAAACCCAGTAGGAGAGTGCAGCCACGTC